CACTTGGCTTTAACCAAGAAAACACATAGATAAATCACTGCATTTTCTCTTTAATATAGTATTTATAGATGCTTTTATTTGTCTCAAGGAAAGGCTGAGTCCATTTAATGTTTAAAGCCTTAGGGTCCTGTGATATATATATTTCTTAAAAAATATAATGATGGTCACTAGTGCTGTGGTATAAAATATCTCAGAAATTTTGGTTCTTTGAAAATTCCATATTTGGTGTACTTCTTGCATCCAATATCGTATAAAAGACAGCTTAAACTCAGCTTGGTAAGTGACAAATTTTCAGAACATGACTGTCAGGTTATCTTGTGGTGGAACAGAACAACTTGTGATGGAGATGGAAACTCAAACAATTTGAGGTAAAGTGCTTAAGTTTTCTCATGATCTTAAATACATTCATTCAGAACATCTTCCCTTCTGTCACACCAGATAATATTGGTCATGAATTATTTTCTTCGTTGTGGGAAGAAAATACTTCTTAATTCCACTGGTAGATTTGCTAATAGAGTATTTTATGTAGTGAGTAGATATTTAGATACCTTCCAAATATACGCAACTGTTGAACAAATTATAGTGTCATTCAAAAATTCACATGAGAAGGCACTTCAGAGGCATGGTATAAAATGATCTTTGGTAAAGGCAAAATAAGAAAAATGCATCACTTAGTGATAATGATAATACTTTCATCATGTTTCCAGACATATTAAGATGTTGGTCAAAAATGGAAAATGTCATGGATATAACTGTTGGCCTGCTTTTTCTTGTTTGCCATTTAGAATCTCTTTTTAACAGATGATGATAGAAAGCTTTCACATTCAGAGTTAGGCATTTCAATTCTTTTCAAGTAATTTAAGGGAACAAATGAAGAAACTTGTATAATTGGTCATAGTATTGATTGTACAGCTAGATGGTATTATTATTCAGATCCACAAATTAAACTAAATGTCTTATTTGACAGATGAGAAATTATGAATGTCCAGTGTTTTTCAGAAGCATTT